TCTCGGCTTCATCCTCTTCACCGCCAAGGCCGCACTCCCGGAGGGTCTCCGAGTCTTCAAGAACCGGTCTCTCTTCCCCCTCGGGGAGCGGGATCCTGACATCTGGCTGGCGGGGGGGGGGGGGGGGGGAGACCATAAGCCTCGGGACGGAACTCCTCCGGTGCCACCTGAAAGTGCTTCGCAAGCTTCCGGTAGATGAGGCGTTGGGTGAAGAACTCCCCGCCTTGGTAGTACGAGTCGCCCCTCTCAGCAAGCCACATCTTTCCGGGGCCCCCGACCCACTCGTCTACTGAAGCCCCCACCACCGAAGCGAGCCACTCCCTCCGGTCTTCGGCCTTCCACCCTTCGGCCGTGAAGCTGGTCACCGCATCCTCTCGGGCCTTGGAGACGGCCTCTTCTTGAGCCGCGCGGGCTTCGTCGGCAGCAATACGGGCGGCCTCGGCGGCGGCCTCCCCGGCCCTGGCTAGCCCCTCATTGACCCCTTCGGCCCTTGCAGCCTGCACCCTCTGCTCCATGCCGTCGGTGGCCAGACGGAGAGAGTCCTCGGCTTCAGCAAGCTTCTTCCTGAGGAGGGCGGCCTCCCCCTCGGCGGCACCCTTGGCCTCCCTCATTTGATCCACCCTTCGGAGGTGCTCGCAGAGGCCCATAAAAGTCTGCAATTCACGAAGTCAAGAATAAGGCATAATGAACATAGTACATAAGGAAAACATAACAATGAGCAAAGAAGGGAGGGTGACTTACGGAGGCAGCATTCAAGAGGACCTTCGCCTCGAGGGATCCCTCGTCCAGCCGGGCAAGGGCCAGTCGGTCGGCCGACGGCAGCATCTGGCTCATCAGAGCCGAAGGGTTCAAACTGCCCTCCAACACGGAGGCCCCCTTCGGTACTAACGCCTCCAACCTCTCCCGCCCAAAGAACTCCTGATTGATTTGTTCCTGGGGGGTGGAGGCAGAAGCGTGCCCTTCGTCCACAATCACCACCACATCGGTGATCGGTTGTTTGGTAGGGGCGGTGGTCTTCGGCTTCTTGGCCGGGGGCTCGATCCCCTTTCCAGCAATCTTCTTTTTGACGGGCCCAGCACCCTTGGACCCTCCGGCGCCAGCAGCAGCGCCAGCAGTTTGAGAGGACCCCTCCCTGGCAGAAGCGCTCGCCGGGGCCTTCTTCTTTCCTTTCGCGTTTTTCAAAGCGAAGAGGGAACCAACGTCCATATTGTTACCTGCAAGCAACAAAAAAAAACAGGAGGGTTAGATCGAAGGCTACCAGTTACTACGTCATAAAAAAAAAGGCGGAATAAGAGAGAACTATCAACGCATCAGTGAACAATTCGGTGATCACCTCCGGCACCTTCGAAGACCCTATCGAGGGGAGGGTATCTCTCATCTGAAGAGCCCCTCGGCCTGAACTGCCGGAAGCCCAGACTAAGCAAATCCTCCGGAAGGGTGACTTCTCTGATCTTGACATGCTTGTCAGACCCCTCCGGCTTCTTGGCAAACACTTTGCCATTCTTCTCCAAAGCTGCGCTCCCCACCTTCGGGTGGCGCCGGAAGCTATTACGGAGCTGGGCCGGGAAGGGATTCTCCTCGAGGCGGATATAGCAGAACCTCTCTTTCCACCCCTTGTGAGACGAGGGCACATCATCAAAAAGCCGGAACTCCGGTACCTGCTGAAGGTTGGCAAAGCCCTCAGCATTTGAATGTCCCCCCGGCAAAGGTTGAAGGACATGAAGAATTGATCGAGTGTGGGCTCGACCCCCCGGCTCTGACACAAGGAGAGGAAGCCGGCCACATAGGAGTGGCTGTTGGGCGTTAGCTGGCAAGGGCCAACCCCACAAATCTCAGATACTCCAAGAGAAAGGATGGAGCGAGAACCGGAGTCCCATCTCCACCGAGAGGGTGTGAGCAGCAAAGCACCCCTCGGGCGCGTATCACAGCAAATCATCCGCCCTGGGCTCCACCACGCGCGCCGAAGGTCCAACCAGCATCTGGGTGGACTGGTATTCTGCCGGGGACGCCTTCATCTTCAGCTCTAGAGCGGCAGTATTCAAGAACGAATGGCCCTCGGGTATGCCCACCGGCCGCCCGGCATCCACTGCCGCTTGCTTCTTCCTCAGGGCCGCCTTCGTCTTGTGTTTCTTCCCGGGAGCCACACTTATGGGCGTCGGGTCCAATGGCCGGGAGGAGCTGGCTTCCCCGGCACCCCGGGGGGAGGAATGGCAACCGTCACCTTCAGCCTCTCCCTCTCCTCTTCCTGCTCGGCGGTTTGCACGGCGAGGGCAAGCTCTTCATCCTCGTTTTCTTGCTCGAAGCCCTCGGCTTCGACTTCGGCCTGGAGGTCCTTCTCCACTTCCATGGCCACTGCGGTATCACCACCTGCCGAGGACTCCACACTCGAAGACTCCCCCGAGATATCCTGGGAATCACTCTGGGACGACATGTTGACTCTAGTTCGAAGGCTCGTAGACGCTAGTGTTTTCTAAATTTTCTATCTCCTAACCTAAGGGCACAGTACAGGTAGCTAAGAGGTGAAGGGAAAGCGGGCACTGACCTTGAAAGCAGAAGTTGTGACCGAAGGCCTGAGTTTCTCTCACTATAATTTTGGGCAGAGCTTCGCTAAGACAAATGATCGCATAAGGGGAAATGGCTCTGGCCTTGGGGTATTTATAGGCGCTGGAATCCGGGCTTGGGCCCGGAAACCGGGCCTCCGGACGGACCGTCATCATTACACACCGTCGTTTCACCCAACCGGTGACGCCGCCCGCGAACGGCCAGCCATCACACGCCACGTGTGCCACCCCCCCAACGGCTATATCCTGTCGATACATATTCCAACGGCTATATTTACAACGACTATATCCTGGAAGCCCCCGGGTTTTCTACTTCACTCCACTTCATCAAGGATAGCCTCCGGGTACACTCACTCAGAAGTGCCCCCGGGTTGTGCCCCACACAGCACATAACAGACGCCTTCGGGATCACTCCTTCAGAAACCCAGGGCTTCATATCAGGGCACCCCTCGGGGATTCCCCCTCAGCACTGCAAAACCGGGTAGCCCCCGGGGAGTTGCCTCATTGACGGATGACCCATGGCACACAGGTAATGGGAGCCCTCGGGCATCTTCACCACCAACTAATCAACAAGCAGTGGACCCCCCGGTAACAACTCCATTACCGCCCTCATCCAGCAGGCCCTCGATCCCCGAATGGAGGGGCTCCCCTTCGGCGCCACCAGGACATCAACAGCAAGCCTTCGGCTAATCAACACAGGAGCCCTCAGAAGAGAGAGCCTTCGGCATTCCCGTCATTCTCCATTTTTTACCAAGGTTTTACATTTCCGATTCATCATTGGGGGAATTCGGTGCACTCTTTTTCCCTCATTAGGATTTTTTCCCAAAGGGTTTTTTCCTAATGAGGTTTTTAACGAGGCATCCCCCCAAAATGAAACGAAAGACGACAGCCTTCGGCGGACAACAGCAACGCAACTACTCTACTCATTTTCACCACTTTACAAGTGCCTCAAGGAGTGGGGGACTGGAGGACCCCCTCGGGAAAATCATTAAATTACAAAAGATGTAGAAATTCCAACAAACAACAAAGCAAGCCCTCAAGTCCCGACATGTGGGTAACTGAGGGACTGCCTTCGGCAGGGACATAAAAGCAACAACTCCTCACCAACTTCAGAGATCACGACGGGACAACATCAAAGGGCAAGCACAAATTATTCCTTTTCCCTCAAGTACCTTTCGGCAAAAGGAGTGAGGGACTCCTGATGGAGTATATGGCCCGGGAACCCCCGGCCCACAGACTCCTACTACACCAATGAAGGCCCAACAGGCCCAGGAGGCCCAACAGGCCCAAACCACAGCGCCCAGAGTACCAAGCAGTCCGCACTACGCGCCAGGGGTGCCTTCGGCCCCCTGGCCGAAGGCTCCAAATTCTCACAGAACGGGTTTCTCAAGCAAATTAAGAAACTGGGAAAAAACGGCGAAAACAGTAGCCCTCGGCACTGTGAGCCCTCGGCACCAGGGTGCCATCGGGTGGAAGAGCCCTCGGCTACTGTTCTATAGCCGAAGGCATCTCACTCGACAAGATATCCGCCTCACATGCGTACAGATCACCGTACCCCGCATAGACGTCACATCCAACAGCCGCATTAAATGCGGCCACATGCGGCTGCCAGCGCCAACCAGTTGAGGTGACCCCTCGGCCAATGAGCGCTTGACACGTGTCCCTGCCCGGCATTTATTGCTACTATAAATAGCACCCCATTTCCTCATTTGTAACCACGCTGAAAACGGCATTCATACTGAATATACTCTCTCTCTACATTTACTTACTTGCTCTGACTTCTCTCTAAGTTATTCCCCGTAATAACCCTTCGGATATATACCCCCGGGTAGACTATCCATCAAGTTGGTTACTGGTTCTTCTACATAATAGGAGTACGTGTCTAAGCCTAATGAAACATCTTACTAGCCAAACGAAAAGAAAGCAAAAGTGATTCCCATAGTAGCAGTGAGTGAAATAGTAGCAGCCTAAACCGTGAAAATGGGGTAGCTAGCATTTCATTTTCCCGCCCATACAAATTTCATCAGCACCGACCCTATCATTTTCATCGCGGCCCTATGTTTACTTCCGTTTGTGGTGTACCCATTGTTTCTCATAAGCACCCCCTATTCTCCTAACCACTTGCTCACTATTTACTTTATCGTTGGCTTCTCACCCACTATAGCTGCAACTCTATCACTTCTCACTGTTTGTTTGTCTGTTCTGAAGTATCACCTCATGATTTAGCTTCATCACCACTTCTCCCTCACCCTTTCTTAGAAGTTAGAACTAAGCCCTGGGCGCTCAAAGAGCTCCTCTGTTTAATCTTCTATATAAATCTTATATAATAGTCAGACACGAGTTAAAAAAAGAGGATGATTTACTTTATCTGTTTACATGACACTTGCTTGAATACTTATATAAAAAATCAAACACAATTGTGTTTCTTTAATTTTGCAGCTGAAGAAAATACACAGTAGTATATTTATCATGGAGAGCTCATCAGATTGACAAGATCGTGTTTTCATAATGACATAGATTTATTTCTACCTTACAAGATCTAAAAGTTAATAACTTTTGCTTTAAGTTTGGTTCTTTCTATATTTTGATCATTAGTACGTTACCGTTTACAGGCTTACAGCACAATAGCATTGAATTGTTGTTGCACGAGCTACCCTATTTGGGGGAGAGTGATGAATGAAGTTCTTAAACCTTTCTCTATCAAATGAAGTGATATAGATTTTGAATTGGTCCATAAGAGCTCATTCATTATTTAATAGGTGTAAATTTGACGTAACCTGTGTAGGTAATGGTTGAATTTGATATAATTGGTATGAGGTACTTATCTATTTAAAAAAACATTGTTTGTTGAAATATATTGAATTAGTCATCTTCCAACTATTCATGATTAGGAATTATTATCACCATTGTATAAATAATTAGGAAATCATAATTATGATTCTAGATGATAATTGTGTGGTTCACAATTATCCTCTAATCCTAATAAGCTTAGCTTTTCTCCTATAAATAGGAGTCTTCTCCATTGTAATCAACACACCTTCATTACACCATTATCACACTCTCTAATACACCTCTATCACTAAGTGTTCTACTATACTTTCTCTCCTTGATCTTCTGTTCATTTCCTTTCATATTATAACACGATATCAGCACGAATTTGCTCCAAATCCCTGAAATCATCATCTTCCCGGCAGTTCATCTATGGCTAATATTAGCAAAAGAGAGTTCGACGTCCTTGATTTATCTGGTCAAAAGTATTTGGAATGGAAAGTTGACGCTTTGGCACATTTAAAAGCAAATGCCCTCGAAAACACAATTGCTGAAAATAATTCAGCTACTCCCCAAAATAAGGCAAAAGCCATTATCTTTCTTCGTCACCATCTTCACGAAAGTTTGAAGTCTGAGTATTTATTGGTAGATGACCCTAAAGAATTATGGGATAATCTCCAAGAAAGATATGACCATCAACAAAAGGTCCTTTTACCAAAAGCTCAATATGACTGGATCAATTTACGATTCCAGGATTACAAATCTATAAGTGACTACAATTCTGCCTTGTTCCAAATAACATCAAAATTGAAGTTATGCGGACAAAAAGTCACTGATGCCGAAATGTTGGAAAAAACTCAATCCACTATGCATCTTTCAAATATGCTTTTACAAGAGCAATATAGACAAAAGCACTTTCAAAAGTATTCTGATTTAATATCAGTATTACTACTTGCTGAGACGAATAATGACATTTTGATGAGAAACCACAATATGAGACTCATGGGTTGTAGCCCTTTTAGTTTTGGTCCACAAAATCATGGTTCAAAACATGAATCAAATGCAACCCATAGTGGTGCTCGTGGACATTTCAAACGTGGTCGTGGTATTGGTCGTTATAATGGACCTAGCCGGGGAAACAAACAGAGTAGTAGCTCTTACAAAGGCAAGGGAAATCAAAACCCCCATCAAACAAGAGGCCCGACGAAATCTTCAGAAAAGGCTAAAGTCACTTGTTTTAAATGTGGCACGTCAGGACATTGGGCAAATAAGTGTCGCACACCTACACATTTGGTTGACTTATATAAATCATCTCTAAAAGGAAAGAATGTGGAAACTAATTACGTCAACGAAAACGTTCCACCAATGCCCACATTTAATATGTCTGATTTCTATATGGATAATAATGAGATGAACACTGACATCGTCATGGGTGAAAAATAATAATAATAAAAATGAAATTATTCTGTTATGTAATATATTCTACAATAAAAGTTTGTTGTATTGTAATTTTTATTTGATATGCTTGTTTCGGTTGTAAAAGTTATGTACATTTTAATGAATAAATTCTTGTTTATATTGCAATATTGAACTAATATTTGTTCATTTTTATCTTTTTAAAGATATGGAGTTAACTGAAATTTCTCCAAATGGCTTTGAACAATGTTTAATAGACAGTGCCACAACGCACACCATTTTGAGACATAGAGATTATTTTTCTCATATGACATTAGTTGATGCTAATGTCAATACAATCTCAGGTGTTGCTAAACTCATTGAAGGTTCTGGAATAGCCTGTGTAATTCTCCCAAAAGGGACAAAATTAATAATTAAAGACGCTTTATACTCCAGTAAATCACGGAGAAATCTTTTGAGTTTCAAAGATATGCGTCTAAATGGTTTTCACATTGAAACCATGTCTGAAAATCAAAAGGAATATTTATGTCTAACGACAAATAGATCTGGCAATAAATACATTTCAGAAAAAATGCCAGCATATTCCTCCGGACTATATTATACATATATCAGTCCAATTGAGATAAATGTGGTATCTAAAATTAATGACCACAATTCCTTTATCTTGTGGCATGACCGTTTAGGTCATCCAGGCAGCACTATGATGCATAAAATTATTCAAAATTCACTTGGCCATTCATTAAATAATGTCAAAATTCCACAATCAAGTGATTTCTCATGCACAGCCTGTTCTCTTGGCAAATTAATTATCAGGCCATCTTTATACAAAATTGGAGTTGAATCTCCTGCATTTTTAGAAAGAATTCAAGGAGATATTTGTGGGCCAATTGCCCCTCCGTGTGGACCCTTTCGATACTTTATGGTGCTCATTGATGCATCAACACGTTGGTCACACGTCAGTCTTTTATCGACTAGAAATTTTGCATTTGCAAATCTCCTTGCTCAAATTATTCGTTTGAGATCACAATTTCCGGATTTTTCAATAAAGAAAATCCGACTTGATAATGCAGGGGAATTTACATCCCAATCTTTTAATGACTATTGCATGTCAATTGGGATTGATGTGGAACATCCAGTTCCACATGTGCATACACAAAATGGTCTTGCTGAATCCTTAATTAAGCGATTACAATTAATTGCTAGACCATTATTGATGAAATCCAGATTACCATCATCTGCATGGGGATATGCTATAATGCATGCTGCAAATTTAATTAGGCTCAGGCCAACTGCATATCATAAATTTTCCCCATTGCAATTAATATCTGGTAAAGAACCAAATATATCACACATAAAAATATTTGGTTGTTCTGTGTATGTACCAATTGCTCCACCTTATCGTACTAAAATGGGTCCTCAAAGAAGGCTGGGAATTTATGTTGGTTTTAAATCTCCCTCAATTATTAATTATCTAGAACCTATGACTGGTGACTTATTCACCGCACGGTTCGATGACTATCATTTTGATGAAACAGTATTCCCAGCCTTAGGGGGAGATAATAAAGAAATGGACCCACGTACGGAAGATATTACTTGGAATGCAACAGATTTATCTTTTCTTGATTCTCGCACAAATGCTTGTGAACAAGAAATTCAAAAGATCATTCATTTACAAAGTGTTGCAAACCAATTGCCTGATGCTTTCACAGACTCAAAGAAAGTGATGAAGTCACATATTCCAGCTATGAATACTCCTTCTCGAATAGAAATTCCTGTGGAGATTAGCGAAAGAACTCTTGCTAATGAATCTATGATACGTAACAAACGTGGTAGACCACTTGGTTCAAGAGATTTGAAACCAAGAAAATTGAAAAAGCAAGATGTAGTTTGTGATGCCAAAGAAGTTCAACCTTCTCAAGAAGAAAATGAACATTATGATAATATTGGCATTGAAGATAACATCAATAATAAGGATACCTCAAAAGAGGATCCAATCACCTTTGAAGAGGTAAATATTCCAGATACAGATAGAAACGTTGATAATTTTGAAATTTCAATCAATTACGTTTCTAATGGAATGCAATGGAATAGAAAAGATATTGATGTTAACGATATATTTTCATATGCCATCGCCACAGATATAATGAATGAACACGATGACAATGAGCCTAAATCTATTGACGAATGTCGTCGTAGAAACGATTGGCCAAAATGGAATGAAGCAATTCATGTAGAACTAAAATCGCTAGAAAAGCGTAATGTTTTTGGACCAATTGTCCACACGCCAAAAGGCGTAAAACCTGTAGGTTTTAAATGGGTGTTTGTGCGTAAACGCAATGAGAAAAATGAAATCGTTAGATATAAAGCCCGACTTGTTGCCCAAGGTTTTTCTCAAATGCGAGGAATCGATTATGATGAGACGTATTCTCCAGTAGTTGATGCTACTACTTTACGATTTTTAATTGGCATGTCTGTTTTTGAAAGGCTGCAAATGCGGCTAATGGATGTAGTGACCGCATATTTATATGGTTCACTCGATACAGATATATATATGAGCATTCCTGGAGGCTTTAAAATACCTGATGCTTATAGCTCGAAATCTCGAGATTTATTTTCCATAAAATTGCAAAAGTCATTATATGGATTAAAACAATCTGGACGCATGTGGTATAACCGTCTAAGTGAATATTTGATTAAAGAAGGATACAAAAATGATCCTATTAGTCCATGTGTTTTCATTCAGCGATCTGAATCAGGATTCGCCATAATTGCAGTATATGTTGATGATTTGAATATAATCGGAACTTCCAATGAAATTGAAAATACTGCTAAATATCTCATGAAAGAATTTGAAATGAAAGACCTTGGGAGAACAAAATTTTGTCTCGACATTCAAATTGAACATTTGAGAAATGGTATTTTTATCCACAAATCAAATTATACCGAGAAACTTTTGAAGCGGTTTTACATGGAAAAAGCTCACCCACTCAATTCCCCGATGGTGGTTCGATCTCTCAATGTGCATGATGATCCTTTTCGACCTTGTGAAGATGATGAAGAAATCCTTGGTCCCGAAATACCATATTTGAGTGCTATTGGAGCGTTAATGTATTTGGCTAATAATACACGACCAGATATTGCTTTTTCTGTAAATTTATTAGCCAGGTACAGTTCTTCTCCGACAAGAAGACATTGGAATGGCGTCAAACATATATTCCGCTATCTCAATGGTACAATCGATCTTGGATTGTATTTCAAGAATGGTGCAAATGCCACTTTAATTGGCTATGCCGATGCAGGATACTTGTCTGACCCACAAAAGGCAAAATCACAAACAGGATATGTATTCACCTATGGTGATACCGCTATCTCATGGAGATCAATGAAGCAAACATTAACTGCCATATCATCAAATCATGCAGAATTAATTGCTCTTTATGAAGCAGGTCGAGAATGTGTCTGGTTGAGATCAATGATCCAGCACATACAAAATGAATGCGGTATAAAATCTTTTACTTGTAATCCTACTGTGATTTATGAAGATAACACAGCATGTATAGCTCAGATCAAAGGAGGTTACATCAAAGGGGATAGAACAAAGCATATAGCACCAAAACTTTTCTCCACACATGATCTTGAGAAAGAAGGAACAGTTGATGTCAAACAAATCAAGTCCTGCGACAACTCTGCTGATTTATTCACAAAGTCATTAGCACCGAAGAAATTTGAAGAACGCGTCCACAAAATTGGAATGTGTCGTCTTCGAGATATATGTTAAATTGAGGGGGAGTAATATAATGCACTGCACTCTTTTTTCCTTCGCCAGGATTTTATCCCACTGGGTTTTTCCTGACAAAGGTTTTTAACGAGACAGTACATTATAATACTATGATACTAATACCCTAGAATAATTAGAAGATGACCATTCAAGGGGGAGTGTTGAAATATATTGAATTAGTCATCTTCCAACTATTCCTGATTAGGAATTATTATCACCATTGTATAAATAATTAGGAAATCATAATTATGATTCTAGATGATAATTGTGTGGTTCACAATTATCCTCTAATCCTAATAAGCTTAGCTTTTCTCCTATAAATAGGAGTCTTCTCAATTGTAATCAACACACCTTCATTACACCATTATCACACTCTCTAATACACCTCTATCACTAAGTGTTCTACTATACTTTCTCTCCCTGATCTTCTGCTCATTTCCTTTCATATTATAACATTGTTATCTATTTCACAGTTCACACTCTAACTTTTACTTCATAGCACTAAGATAAACTTATATTTAAATCAGCTTTCTTCTATTACCTTGCTAAGAAAAAAGTAGCACTCGAGTGAAACGAATGACAAAACAAAAAGATCAATAAAAAAGAAGTTTAAATGAACAAATATCGAAGCATAAATTTAAATCTTTTTTGCTTGCAATTTTGATTATGTAATTAATAAATTTGTGTAATTTAAAGATAAAGTTGCTCCAGTGCGTTGTACCTAGGGATGGACTCGGGTCCGGGCCGGGTCCGGGTCGGGCCTAGGCCTGGGCGGGCCGGCGGGTCAGAAGAGGTGGATCTGGGACCGGTCCGGGTAACCACCGGGTCCGGTCCGGGTCCGGGCCGGGTCCGGGCCGGGTCCATTATATATTTTTTTGTTTTCCTCTTCCTAATTAACCCCCCTCCCACCCCCAACCCCCCAAACCACCCCAAATGGCCCAAAATACCCAGCCCAACCCGAAAATTTAAAAAAAATTGAAAAAAAAAATAGTTTTTGGCCCGAACCGGGTCCGGGCCTGGCCGGGTCGGGCCTTGTTTTGGGTGACCCGAGCCCGGACCGGAAAACCCACGGGCCGGGCCTACCCGGACCGGTCATTGACCGGGTCACCGGGTCGGGCCGGGTCAGAACAGTACCGGTCCCGGGCCGGTTCCGGGTCGGGCCACCCGGCCCGAGTCCATCCCTAGTTGTACCCTACAGTGCATTATGATCGGTCTGTGATTTTGCATTCTAAATTCAAATTTATGATGTATGTATCTGGATAACTAGGGGTGGATTCGATCCTGGTCTGGTCTTGGACCGGCCTGTCCAAGTTAAATTCGGGTCTAGGTTGAATGTTATTGAATGTGATATATTTTTGTAAAACTTGGACTACAGATATTCGGAAGGTCCCTTTTTTAAAAGGAGTCCAAAAGAAATACTCCCCCCGTTCCTTATAATTTTGTCAATTTTTCTTTTTTGATTATCCCAAAAATTTTGTCACTTTCTTTTCTAATCAATCAATTAGTGTCTCCTAGTGTTTTTGTCTCCTCTGCACAAATTTCTATCACACAATTTTTACTTTATTAGGTGTACCGTATACTACCTCAGTCCCAATAGACTTTGCATTCTTTGAATTAGGTGAGAAATAAGAATAGTAAAAATTGTGTTGTTGAAATTTATGTAGAAGAGAGAAATGAATAAAATCACAAAATCGTCGCTTTAATGAGAAAGTGACAAAGTTGACAAAGTCTATTAGGATAGAGGGAGCAGTGTGTGTTCAATAATAATGAGTATCAATTTGTGCAGTTTGTGTTTTTACTGTATGTAATTTGTTACATTACTCTCTAACTATCTGTACTAACTAGTTTTCTTTTATGTCACACCACCCAACACACTTAGGATGTTTTTACTTGGACTGTAATTTACTGGTCTGGTCTGATCTCGTCTAGTCTGGTGTAGTGTGTCTACCACTCACACACTTACGAATTAAAAACATCCTTACGCACGTATCTTGTTTGCGCCACTTTTGACTAATATCTGATAGGAGTGACAGCCAGATCAGATAGAAGAGAAGTAGAGAGTATGCGTGTGACTGCGAGACCTGTCATAGACCCTGAAGCACTTATCATTCTCGCTGATACTTTCCTCTTTCCTCTCCCAATTTTATGCAATAATGGTCTGATTCTTGGTGATTACCGGCGACAACTCCTCACCCACCCGCCTCTCGCTTCTAATCCGGTAAGTTCACCTCTTTTACCTTTCGTCTCCCCATTCCCTGCCTTTATTTCACACTCTGCTTATAGATCGGCTCTTGTTATCATTTCATGGCTTTGCATACTACCAATTATTTGATTCTTATTTGTGCGTTCTGTTTCTATGGAGTGTTATAAATAGCCTGCCCCGTCCCTTTTTGCTTTTACCAAGTATGATTAATTTTCACTTATTTTCTGATCTGTGTATATATGCTGCATACTGTCTGCTTCAAGCTTCATCTTACAGTTTATTTCACTTTCTTGACAACCTTTTTCTTAACTCCAGGACAATGCTAAAGAAACAGAACTTGGTAGATGTTGCATACTGGGTATATTTTACTTCAAGCTTCATCTTAGAGTACTCTAGGGGTTCCTTTAGGGTCCGTTTGGAACCTGGGTAATGCTAAAAAAAGAAACCAAG